GTTTTTTCAAAAATCGCCTTCGGCGCCAACATAGATCAATTTTGAACGGGAAGCGCGATCTGAGACAACCCAGTTTTTTGGTGAAAAAAATTCAAGTGACTAAAAACGTAAATTTTGTCCTGTTTTTTTTGTATAATTTTTATAGGCGCAGAAATTTTGATCTAAACGTTTTTTCTAATGCTTTCTAACAGCTCAAAAAATCAACTTAGTCGAGATGAAAAAACGGTGAAAGTTTCTCTTCATTAAAATTTTCGACCTGCGCCGAACTTCTTGGATTCAATTATTGTTCAAACTTGCGTAATAACTTGTTCCGAATCAACATAAATTTTTGAAATCCAGATATCAATTCCAATTTTTTCCTGTTTTCCTTGTTACTAAATCAATGTGCAGCAATTTTTACGAAATCTATAACCAAAGTAAAACTTACTCACAAATTGTTTCCAATGACTTTCCAATAAGATTGTATATAAATTCAAAACCATTTTTCAATCTTAAAATTTTCAATTAAATAAAAAATGTGTTCGCTTCTAGCCCAACTGCATTTCAGTCAAATAAGGAAAGTTATTCAGCAAAATTTTATGCAGAGTTCTGATTTTTTTCGCTCCCCTCCAGTTTCCATCGTCAATCATTTCCTCAAATCGTTTCTCGCTGTTTTCCTCATTTGAAATTGGGGTGGTGCTACTTCTCAATTCCGTATTACGCGAGTTTAAAATCTCTTGTCCGCTTTTTGTTGTATCTGCTTCAGTCAATTGAGACTCTTCACTCTCCATGTCGCAGCTCCTCTCACCTCTCATCATCGCACTAATCTTGGTGCGCTTAGGATTTGTTGCTTAGTTCCTCCCTGATGTTGGAAACGCAGCCCAAATCCTAGCAATTTTCTTCCTCTGGGCCTTACTTCATCTGAACTCTCCTGTCCTTCCATCATCTTCTTTTCTCGTTTCCGTGATGTCCCTTGTTTCCTCGCTCCTCTCAGATTGTCTTTGCTCAGAATTCCCTTTTTGTTTTCTTCAATCCTCCTCTGAATTCTTCTTATCGCTTCCATGGTTCCGCTCGTCCTATTTAAGTTTTCACACCTTTTGGTATCCTCGTATGTCATCTATTCCTTCTCTGATGGGATTGTTTTTGCCACACCTCTTAGTACAGGTCTTAATTCAAACCCTTCCTTATCTTGGCTGTTGGCAATAACGCAGGACCCCATCGTCTGGTTCATCACCTTAACTGCTTCAACCATCTCTTCATTTATCTGTGGTGTAGTGACTGTAAATAAATATCTGCTTCTTGAATTGCTCCGTCTCGTTCACTTTCCTTCTTGTTTTCGCGTTCGTTTTTTCTCCTTTCGCTCTTTTGTTCTCTTATCTTGTCTTTCGTCATTATTAGCAAGTAAAATCGGCCTTAAATTGCGGATATTTTCTATTTGCATTTGAACGAACTTCGTTTTCGTTCCGGTCGAGCGAGCTCTTGTATGTTTCAAAGTTGCCAAGATGTTTCCGATTTCTGTTCAGCCGACATTGGTTTTTTTTAATGTCAGCAAACGTTTTCATACATTTTCCGCACACTTATTCTTGCGCTCGGCTAGTTTTCTCTTCGACATTTTTTTCTCTACTCGACAATTCTATTGATTATACCCACGTTTTTGACATCCCTTATGCAATTTTTGACATATTTATTTCCTTACTTTTTCTAATCGGTTACTTGTTTTACTCTACAAAAAATTCGCATGAATCAAGCGTTTCCTATGACGACAGACAAAAATCCTTCTGTCTATCGCAATAATTTTAACTGGCCACATCCGAAAATTTGTCTCCAGTATTATTCAATTGTACTTTATTAGATATCTAACCCGGTAAACATGTCCAACGCTTTTTACTTTGTTATAACTCAATCTTCTCTCAATCAGTGTCATTTTCCAATTTGATAAAATTTTCTCGGGTTTTGAACTCCTATTCAAAGTCCTCTTAAGACTCGCATGTCTGCCTCGCTTTCATTGTCAAAACGGAGTAGGGGGTTTCTTCTTCTGATATTTTGATTTCAATTTTTCGGATATGATCCAAAATTTCTCTGATAAGGGGAGAGTCCTTTGACAAATAGCATTAAATTCTTATCAAATAGGGCATGGGCTTTAGTTGCTTCTGACAAAAATTTCCGTCAGTTTTCGTTTCGAAATGTCTTCAACATTCTTTTTATAATTATATTGTCTTTCGACGACCCCATTTGAGAACTTTGCATTGCCTGCTTTAGTTTTTACTAGTCAACCAAATATTGACATTAGTAACAATTTAGATCATTGTAAAGATCGCCGCCCAAATCATGTAATACATTGGTTGGGGTACCAAACCGGATGAACCAGCCAATTACAATGTTCTCCGTTATTATGACTGTTTTTTTTATTCGACTACGATCACAACTGGGAGACTTGAAAACTACTCTAGCATGTGTAACAACAAGAGCTTATGATTTGTTTTAGGATCCATCGAATCAACAAGATCGAGAGCCACAGAAAAATTAAAACCGTTACTTCTTAGTGTTAGCAATTTTTTGATGTTTCATACTATTCCTGTCGCCTTACAGGCTATACAGTTTGCGATCACATTCTCGATTATCCCATCACATTTTACTTTGAAATTTTTCATTAATTCCAGATTCTTCAATGAACATTTTTTCTATAGTCCTTTCAACCTCAAATGAAGGTCTTTTGTTCTTTTTCTGTCAATTTTCTGTCATTGCTGTCTGTTCATTAGATTTTGTCTTCTTTTTTCTTGATCCTTTGATTCAATTTTAGTTTTTGACGATCTATGTGAGTATTCTTAAATCAATGTCCTACCCCTGGTCTTCTCAGTTTAAAATTCTTTTCTGGTGATTTCACCAAGTAGTTTGGAAAGTCTAGCCAGCTTTCAGATTTTCGAAGGCTTCCATTCCCAGCATTAGTGGTATATCATCGTCGATTACGTTCCATTTCAGTGTTGTAAGGCTCTCGGATACTCTGATTGGTAGTAGACCTACGAACTGCGCTTTAATCACTCCTTCTCCTCCTCTTCCAATTTCAAACTTCCCTTCCGTTTCTAACTTTCTTTCCTTGAATTGCCTCCACTCTTTTACTGTTACCCGGGTTTCAATTTCCAACCACTGTCTCAATGACATAGTCGATTTGGCTGCTCTTGAGTCAACTCTAATGTTGATTTCACTTTCATCTTCTGCTTCCGTCTCTCTTCTCTTCTCTCGCAAAACAACATGGAGACGTCTCAATTTTTCCTTCCGTTCTGGATTAGAACTCCTTCTATATCCGGATTTAACTCTACAAAACTGATCCTCTCTTCTTTCATTACCTGTCTTCGTCCCATAATTCGCTTTACATTCTCTTAGTTAGTGATCACTTGAGCCGCGTCTGAAACATCCTCCTTGCTGTCCTGATCGACCTCTCGCCGGTATGTAACCTCCTCTCCCTCTTCGATTTTGTCCTCTACTATTCCCGTCAAGTTGTATCAACTGTTCTGGTTTTGATTGAAGAGATTGTTTGCCGTTTGACTCTCCTTTACTGCAAATCTCCGTAACGTTTGCTCCAGAATGGCAGGGTCAATACGGTTTTTGTAACCTTTGTTTCTCGCAATGTTTTCAGGAAAGATTTTTTTTGCCTCATCTAAATTCAACCCTTCTGGTAAAAACAAAGCAAAAACCTTGTCATTGATTGACATGTCAGACTCATACATTTGTCTTCGGTATCGCTTCATTCTTTTGATGTATTCATCCCAGCTGAATTCCGGGCCTTTCTTACATCTTTTGCGCTGTCTTTATGTTTGCTCGGATTATAGGAAAGGACTTGGTGCGAGGCATTCTTCTAGTGGCTCTAATATTTTCTTCGGCCCGAGTTCTGTTGGGGCTTTGTCTCCATCCATCGTAATCACGATTTCGTTCAATGCGGCACATCGGTTATCCCATTCATAATGACATGGGGGGGGCAGCATTTCCAATTGAACCTGTGTACATTTGTGGTTACACAATAAGTTTCTCTTCCACCATCTATATTCCTCTACGTCTAATGACTTCAAATTTGGTACGTTGACATTATACATTCTGATTCTCCTTCTGTCTCTTCTGTTTTCTTCCTTGGCTTCGTCTTCTTTTTCTTCCAATTTTTCCAATCTTCAACTCTGTTTTCTGTTTCAAATACGGTCGCCTCATCTCTAGTTTCATCCGCTTCTGCTTCTGTAGTTCCTCCCGTGGTTTCTTGCGGCATCCCACGATTTTTCGTAGTGTCTCCAGTCGGTGTTCCTACTTTCTAAATATGTTTTCTCTCTTTTCAGATAAGTTCAAAGACGTCACACTCTTATTAATTTTATGACTTTCAAAATGTCTGTCTTAAACTTACATATCCCACATTCATACCCCGTGAAAAAATTGTCAGACAATTTTTTTTGGTTTACGCAGTAAAACGAAAAGTATTTGAAAAATTGAAAAAGACGTATGTTTGTCACAAGTGAATGTACTTCAAATATTAAATTGACTAATGAAACTCAACTTTGATTAAGGTAGGTCACAGTCGTATTGATCTCGTGTGAATTTCGAGCATCTATTTGAGTTTGCTCAATTTCAACTCAAAATTTTCGATTGGAATATATCTTTCGATTTGCAAATAATCACGTACAAGTTGCGCGAGGTCTGTTTTACCGAGTCTTGCAAGACTAAAATTGAGCTTAAACTTTTTGTGCTATGACGGGGGCGGAATAAAATTCAGTTTTTCTGGGTACGTCAATGGCAACACAATTTGCTTATTTTGAAGGGGAAGCAACAAAATTTGCAACAAATGTTCCTTGAAAAAGAACAAAAACTGCGTTTTCTGGCGTTTTCTTTCAAAACTGTGTGCGCATTGAAGTCAATTTTGACATTATGGGGCCTTTTAATGTTTAAAGAGCTCAGGAAATCAATTTAATCGACCTGGAGAATTCAATTAGTTGAAAACGAAATTATTCAAAAATCAACCCCGTGCTTTAGATCAAAATGATTACCTTCGAGCGGCGCAATCGGAGCCCAGGAAGCTTTCTCTATCGGGTAGCACGAACTCCCAAGAGTCTTTGCTGACATTGACATGTGACTCTGAGCCCGACGACAAACACAAGCATGCAGTCATAAGAAGGCAACCTGCAGCAAAGTGAGCCCTCCTCAATTTTCGCTGTCGAAACTATCCGCCAAAGCGCTTCTCCTTGATTATATTTTTAAAACATACTTTCTCCACTTGTTGAAACTTTGTTTCCAGTCTGCAAGATTTTTTTTCTGCAATATTGAACATTTGTTTTCGAGACTATATGCGAAAATCATTTTTAACTTAAATCAGAAAGTCGTTCGGTGTGCTGGATAAACTAAGGTTGCAGGGGGATTTCGAAGCCCCTTTGTGAAATCGACCACAGCTCCCACATAAGGGATCCGCATAAGGAACTATTTTACGCATCAAGATTTGGACGACCAGCCATAAACTTTTTTCAGCCGATGTTTCGGCGCCATCGTATGCAAAATTAGAAGGAAGGCTAAATTTTTAAACAACTGCCCCTAGTCCTCGAAATTTTTTTTTTAAATCCCCCTCTTCTATTAAAACAGTTAATTTCGGGGATGGCGTATGGCGGATAATTGACTTCAAAATAAAAGAGGGGGATTTTGAAACATTAATGAGTCTAAAATTGATCTAGGAGAGACAACCTACCCACGAAAACCGATTACTTTGATAGGTTTTTGAAGCAATCAGTTCAACTCAAATTTTACTATGATTTATTATGTTATATGAACGACCCAATTTGGTCCCTTAGTTTCTATTACATGTCAGCAAAGTGACAATAAACTGCAAAACAAATACCCGCTAAACAAAACAATATTGCAAGAAAAAATTACCTGGTCTTAAAACTATTGCAATTTCAAGGACGCTTTTTCTATCAAATGGAATAAGCAAAAATATATATACTAATACATGTATATACTAATATATACACAAATTAGGCTGCTCAGATGTAATTGAATATCATAATTATTTGAATTTTTATTTTATTTGATTCGAAAAAGATTTAATTTGAATTTTTTTTTGGATCAACAGTACATTTCCCCCTCCCAAGTGACCTACCCTAGAATGTCCTCCCCAAGCATGTATTAACTCCGCTTAAAATATTCATTTCAAACAAGCACACCAACATACGGCTGGAGAATTTCTTGTATACTGATTAGATATTTTATCCAGTTGTTTGATATCGATTTATTTTTTGACTAATTAGATCAAATTACTTTGCCCTCGAAGTCAATATCTGAAAAACCGGTATTTTATCCCCCCTAATTGTTTTTTGGGGGGAGGGATTGTACGGTTGATGCAAAATTTTGATAATTTGTTTCTTTGGATCTACTTAACAATTGCCCCCCCCCCCTTTTAAGAAACCCCCTTTCTTAAAAAAAGGGGGGGGGGCAATTGTTAAGTAGATCCAAAGAAACAAATTATCAAAATTTTGGATCAACCGTACAATCCCTCCCCCCAAAAAACATTGTTAAGTAGATTGTTAAGTAGATTAAAGTAACGCATTTTCGATCAATCAGAATGCAGCAAAACTCTAATTCTCAATAGAAAGCTCAGTGTTAATTTACTGCTTTTATTAATAGGGGTGGCAATTCTTAAGTAGATAGTAAAGGGGGGGAATTGTTAAATTGATCCGTTTCTTTTATTATGATAGAAATAATTTTCGAACTTTTCAATTTCCTTAAATTACATTTTAATTGTGCCTGTAAATAAATTTTTGATAGTTTTTCAATTCCTCCTCAGAGCCACAATTCATTTGCCACAAGTTCGTTAAAAGGAAACAATGGGTGATATTTGCACACTCATTGTCTAATGAAAACTTTGTTCAACAGTGCCGAAAATATGAACAAATTTCCGCATATTAAGTGCGGCAATCAAAAATTTAACGGCGAACGTTTACAATCTCAAGTGGCACTTAAAGATTTTGGGAGAAAAGTTTTGCAATTTAGACGTTTTGGCGCCAAAAAAAATGTTTAATTTGCTGTTGCAGACATTTTTGGCGCCGAAATTGGAGTGATTTTCTTTGATTATTAACGACAAAAATTTCTCGCTTTTTAGAAAATGCGTTGAAATTATTCTGAAATTTTTCCGCCTTTTTCGGCACTGTTGAACGCCCCCTTGCCAATCAATTAAAATGAATTAAATGGAACAAAATTTTGCTTTTTTCATAACGAAACCCTTGAAATATAAAATTTGTTCCAATTCGACGGCGGTCAGTGACAATTTGAAAATTTTGCATATTTCTGCCGTTTTTATATTCGGCGAATATCAGTATCCAGTCTCTGGAAATGTTTACTTTCTTTCCATATTTTAGATTATTGAAATCTAATTGGCTGATTCTTATTTTCACCTTGTAGCATTTTACATTTCAGCTCAGACTCAGAAACCAATTAACGCTGAACTGAAGCAAAACAATACTACTCGTATTAGGACAAATCCTTGAATAATTTGTCTGCCGTTTAAAGTCTAACGAAAGGCTTTAACTAAACAAAAAAAATAAGTAAAAGAAAAAATGATCACAATAAGTAGTCTATTTTCTTTGATGTTAATTAAAACTCCGCTCAGAATTGGTAACTAAAAAGTCACTTTTTGCTCGAAAAAAAACCAGTACGAACCGAAAAGTTCAATTTTTCTTCGAAAACGAAACATTAATGAGTCTAAGCCGCAAATTGTTAAGAAAAACGTTATCTTTCGTTCTTCTGAAGAAAGTAACGTAATTGCTGTGCTGGAAAGCTTTTCCACTGAATGGTAATTTATAGGATCGAAACAATAAATCAAATAAGTTTTTTTTAGCTCAATCAAGATATCGACTCCTTGGGTTTGAATATAAAAAATTGTTTCACCCGCATTCTTTTCGATAAAATTTAGAGGTTTTGAGAATGGCCAATTGACTATGTTCTAGGCTATTTTATGTGCACTGTGATTAGTTTATTTATAAGTCTGAAAGCTCATTGCTATTTTTTTTAAGCATGGCAACAGATCCCTGACTCAATATGACTTCAAAATTTCTAAATTTATCATCAGTGAGATGTTTCAAATCAAAAATTACTCGAGACTTGAGAGAGCAGTCAAAAGTTCAGAGCTATCTTCTGATATGAGCATTGTTGAATATTTTAAAGCTTGGTCTTGTTTAGTGAATGATTAATAGTTTATGAAAATGTTGACTTTCAAAAAAACCAAAACATTTTTGAATTTCACAGTTAATTTAATTTTCTGTGTAAAACTGGGATCATTTTAAGAAATTCGGAGTATTTAGGGCTTATATTGGTACACGCAAGCAACCTTGTAACTGTATGGGCTCGTGTAATTTTTAGATGCACAAAACAGAAATTTCGGAAAAGTTCTTCAAATACCTGAAAGCACTTGATGATTACTGCATAAAAGTTAAAAGATTCAGGTTGTTTTGATTAAGTGGGCCAAAATTGGATTGAACATTTTCTCGAATGGTGTGGATTTGACATTGTTTCGATCTATTTAAGATCAACTCACTGTCAAAATATCTATTCAAATCTATCCGAAAACCTTCAAAAATCTTTTTTTACCAAGCAATTCTGCGTCGCACGCAAAGTTTTGAAGAAAAACAGCGGTCCAATTTTTCCATTTTGGAGCAATTTCTGCGTTAATGTCGCGCAAAATTTCTTTTTTTTCGGCGCGCTTTTTGCCTGCAAAATTACTGTTTTATGATGCCAAAAAGTTGTAGAAAAAAAATTGATCCAAAAAATGGATCTTTGCGTGGCCAGTAGCACACCAGTCGGAGCTGTGCAAATTAAGCATCAACTGCATTGGGCGAAAATAAAAATCTTAGTAATAGGTGAAAATTTTGACAATACAAGTGGATACTTTAGCAGAAACGCCCCTATTTATTCCCCATACAGCATTGCCAACAAGCGGTTAAATTTGATAGTAATCTGCACTAACTTTCGTATAGAATCCTGCCCTCAGTTGGCAAGCTTGCAACCCGATGTAGCGACTACAGGGGGTCACTATTTGGCCGTTGGTTTGCTATTTGAACAATATCGCGTCAATTTGACATGCAGCAAACGAGTGACATACTTAATCAAGTAAACACGGTTCTTTAGCTTTCTATAACATTCACTTTATATAGTCGCCCCCAATCCGGCCTCCGCGCGCGTATTTTGCTTCTGCGTTTAGCAGTTTTTTTGAGCTGTCTTGTTTTTTTTTTGGGTTTAGTTCAAAAATTAAAGGTAATTAAAAGGCTCACCAAAAATTTGAAGCCATGAAGATAAGCTAAATCTAACAAAATTCATAAATGAAATGAACTTTAAGGGCGCACAATTGAAGCTGATTTGATTGTCTATTTGAAATGTTTCTAAATGAAAACACAATCGAGGTCAAACTATTAAGAACAAAGAATGGTTAATAGAAGTATTTATATGTTACGAAAACAGTTGAAAATTTAAAAAGAACAGACATTTGAACTGGGAATGATATATAGTAGACTTAGTGTGTGATATACTGATATAATTGGCTTAGGAAATGGTAACTTATGGAAATTTTTAAAGGCATAAAAGAGCTGATGCAATTATGTTTTTTCTATTAGAAAATCTTTTCTAAATTGAAGAAATTACCATTTGTCATACCGCTTCTGCAGTAGCAGTATTTATATACGTATGTACAGCTAACCTTTGGTGCTTAATCATTACTGTATGGTATGCTCAAGGTCATACGTGAGTGATGACACTGAGATTAAGCGAGATATCAGAGTTCGTAACATTGATCTAACTCTCAGTACAACAACAAAACAAAAGAATAAGAAAACCTAAATTCAATAGTACAAATACATTATTGAATTACAACTTGTTTTCAACTGATATCGCAACGCATATCACATGGCGCAGCCAGCAGGATTCGCAGCTCAAGATAACAGAACGGACATGGGAATTCCGGTATTTTGGGCGTCAGTGAATCTAGACCCTCCGTGGCAATTCAAAATCTGGTTCGAACAATTTCTCATAGCGGTTACGATTAAAGAAAATGTGAACCCAGAGATTATTTTGGAAGAACCAAAAGACATATTAGAGGAACCGCCACCACGCCCTGAAACACCCAGAGACGGGGAGAATGAAGATGCGAGGAACGCTAGGATTCTTAGAGATAAGCTAGCAATGGATAGAGTAGCATTGGAGAACGAAGAGAGAAAGACAAGAGGACCACGAGTCGGACACAATGTCTTCTACAACGAAGTACAAAAGAAATTGGTGTCCAGATTATTTTTGTCTCTGGGTACAGAGGGAAAGAAAAGATTCCTACAAAAGAACCCGCATGCTGAAATATCGAAAATGACGTTCAGGGAAATAACAGATTTGGCAGAAGTCTCGTTTCAAAAGGTAAAATGTGTAACATACGAAAGATACAAGTTATTTACGAGAATGCAAGAATCGGGAGAATCTCTGGAATCATTTCACGCAGCGCTAACTGCACAGGCAGCCCGATCAGAACTGGGAGCATTGGAAAATGAAATAGTCCGAGACCTGTTCATTTCAAAAATGAAAAACATGACCTTGCAGGACACGTTGACATTCGAGACTCTAGACCCGGAGGAGGTTCTGAAAAAGGCTATAAAATTCGAACATAGCAAGTTAACCACAATGGCGTTTCAAAAGACTAATGCTGCGGCTACAGGGGGATCAAGTAGCAATTACATCTCGGGTGTGAGAATAAAACAAGAACCTGTAATGGCAGTTAAAAATTTGGCGGGGACAACCAAAACTTCAAATAGAAGGGAATCGAATAAAAGACAAAACAATAACAAGAATCAAAACACGAAAACAAAACCATTTAATAGATGTGGAAGGACGTTTGAACAGGGACACCTAAAAAATTGTCCAGCGATGGGGAAAACCTGTAAACACTGTGGCAAACCCAATAATTTCGCTAAAATGTGCAGATCTCAACAAGTAAGTGAAGTTGCGGAAGACTCGGAAGGATCGGTAGAGGAATGCGATCAGATAAGTGAAGGTGTTGGGTCATGTAGCGAATTTGAGGTTATGTCGATACAAACCTATCAACCGGAAAACGAGAGAGTTTCAAAATATGTGAAAGACCGAATCAACGAAATGAGGGACAAACCAAACGGAAAAATGGTGCGAGTTCAGAAAATAGATTCGATCCGCGATCCAACATTGAATCGTGTAAAATCACTAAAGGCCATGGTACGAATAGATAACCAGATAATTCAATTAACAGTGGACACTGGAAGTCCAGTTTCATTTCTCAACTAGGCGACAACAAAGGAAATTATGGAAAAATCAAACAAAGTAAGATTCATACCGTCCGATAAACTGAATATACAAACCAAATTCTTGGACTAAAACAAACAACCGATCAGTATACTGGGAGCCCTAAAAACCAATCTGAGGTCAGCGGGCTGGGAAGTAAAGGGCGCCACCTTTCTGGTATCAGAACGAAAAACTAGATGTATCATGGGACTAGATTTGCAAGGACAAGTGGGAATAGTGACTACACAAAAACCAGCGCCCAAGGAACTCACCAGGTTTGACGTGCTCATGTGCGAGCAGTCAGAAGGTTGGAAAGAAAAAATTTTCACTCAATTTAAAAACCTATTTGAAAGACAAGGCATTTCGAAAAATCACATTGTCAGTTCAAAATTTAAATATCCATTATGTCCAATCCAAGAAAAGGGGAGAAGAATCCCAATTCACATACAAGATAAAGTCGAAAAAGAAATCGAGAAGTTGTTGACAGAAGGTCATATAACAAAACTTGAGAAATGTACAAGTGATTGCTCTATCGCTCCGATTGTGATAACAGTAAAGAAGGACGACTCAATAAAATTGGCAATGGATGCAAAACCAATCAATAGACAATTGTTCAAAAACAAATACCAAATGCCAAATGTAGATGAACTCATTGATGGGGTAAGCCAGATTGTAACTGAAAACAAAAAGGGTACGCTATATTTTTCGGTGTTAGATTTGAAATATGCGTACAGTCAATTAAAATTGGCTGCAGATACAGCTAGACAATGCAACTTCAACATTGTTGGTGGAAAAGCAACTGGAACCTACAGATTCTTGACAGGGTTCTACGGTTTAGCAGATATGCCAGCTGAATTTCAAAAGGCTATGGACAGAACCATCAACCACGCTAAAAACACGTTCTGTTTTCTGGATGACATACTTATTGTGTCAAAGGGAAGTGAAATTGAACATGCAAACTTGGTAGAAACAGTATTAAAAAAATTGGATGCGGAAAATTTGGCATTGAAACTATCAAAATGCGACTTTTTCAAACAAGAAGTGAATTGGTTGGGTCATCATCTCTCAGAGGCAGGAGTTAGACCAAAAATCACTAAAACGGAAGCAGTAGTGAATTTGAACCCGCCGAAATCGCTTAAACAGCTAAGGTCATTCCTGGGAAGCATAAATTAATTAGCTAAATTTATACATAAAGCAGCAAGTCTGACTGAAAAATTAAGACCACTTCTGAAAGAAGAGAATCAAAAGAAAAAGTTAAAAATCATGAAACTCCCGGTGAAAAAATTTGAGTGGGGGGAGGAACACACCGTAGTGTTTAATGATATAAAAGAAGCTGTGGCAAGTATAACAAAAGTACATTATTACGATGCAACTCGAGAAACACGAGTTAAATGCGATGCTAGCCATGATGGGTTAGGGGCTACTTTAGAACAACAAAATGATAAAGGCCTGTGGGTCCCAATTTCATTCGCATCCCGATACCTAAATGCCCAAGAAAAAAAATATTCAACAAATGAATTGGAGTTATTGGCAGTTGTTTGGGCAGTAGATAGATATAAACACTACCTCCTGGGGACAACATTTATCATTGCAACTGACCATAAAGCGCTTACAACAGCATTGGATGGCAACAAATCGAACAAGACCTACCAATCACGTTTAACCCGGTGGGTTGACCGGTTACTGCCATATCAGTTCAAAATAGTTCACATTCCAGGGAGGGACATGGGCATAGTTGATTATTTATCGCAGGATCCCTTCAATGATCCCTGGCCGGAATTAGAATTAGACAAAAAGTTTGTAGTAGCGACAATAAACTCCTTTTATGAAGCGTTCGACTGCTGGAACAGTAGGCTTAAAGAAATTGGGTCGCTCAACCGGAACGAAAACGTTCTAGAATGTTCTAGAAGGAATGCTAAGAAACAGTCATCAAGTAATGGTTGCTATAGCAACCAAAACGGTCAAAACCGAACAAAGCTCGACCGGAACGAGAAAAAACAGTTTTCACGACTGCAAAAACAGCAAAACACAACAGTTCAACATAAGCAAATCACTTTTTCGTCAAATCAACCCAACAAACAGTCAGTCTTAAATAAATTCAAAATCATAAAACAACCAGTACCGGAAATTTAAAAAAAAAAACTGACTCAAGGATCGAGATGTCAGGAAACGGAAACAGATCATACGACTGGTGGTCGAGCTCACCACAAGAATGGCGGAAGGAGGAGCGCGAAGAGAGTCTAATGGACCCAAAGTGGAACCGCTCACTATCCAACACAAATGAACTTTCGGAAGAGGAGGAGATCACAGAGACAGTTCAGCGTACAAGAAAAATAATTCGAGGGGGCCGGAAAAACAGGGATAGCTCCGACAGTGAAACACGTCATGCATCACGGGTGAAATGGCAGCTGGAACCGGATCAACAAAGAGAAGCGGATCAAAGACTACTCTCATTCTGGCAGCTAATAGGCGGAGAAGAAAATGTTCAGGAAAATAGAGAACTGGTGGCACACACTCAAGAAGTCAGGGACAGCTCGGAACACGAATCAAGTTCAGCAGTGACTAAACCGATCGCATCGGCGGAACGGAAACTCAGTGAGGTGCAAGTAATAGAGAGGGACCTGACAACCACGGAAGAGGCGGAGAGTGAAGAGGAAGTGTGCTCAATAGAACCACCAAAGGGACTAGGAAAAACGAAACTGCAAAAGCAGCAACAAGTAGAGACCTTGGACAATCTAGCAAAACTTTTCGACAAAAGTTTACTAGCAGAATTGACCACAGAAGACACGTGGATGGACCGCCTCAGACGAGTGATCGAAAGAGGGGACAAACAAGGATTTGAATTGATCGGACCTTATACAAATCCGTTGTGGTCACAGATGGCAGTTTAGGACGACTGCATCTTGGTGAATAACCGGCTAGCAGTTCCAGTACAACTAAGACAAGCTGTCCTGAAACGAATACATCGAGGGCATTCAGGCCAGGAGGCTATGTTGGGAGCAGCGCAATATCTGTGGTGGCCTCATATGAATAAGGACATCGTGAATTTGGCAGAGGAGTGCCGTAGCTGTACCAGATATGGTAAGAATGTAAAATACCTTATTTCG